TTGAACATCATTATTTACTAATAAAAACTATTTAAATTAGAGTGTGTATTTTTCTTTCATATTGCCACACTTGGTAACCGTTTTATAAAAGCAATAGCTCACTTCAGGCCGTGGTATATGCTCATTATATCACAGCTAAGGGGCGTGGTTCGGCCCGACGCGAAGCCTGTCGTGAGCTATTGCTTAAGTATACCAGTCTGTGTTCTGTTGCCTGAGCCAATGTGCCTGCTATGTATTATTATTTATTTACTATATATGAACATCTCTATGAATTATAATCACATGTATTCCAGTCTGTGTTCTGTTGCCTGAGCCAAGTGTGCCTGCTATTTATTATTATTTATTTACTATTTATTGAGAATCTCTATGAATTAAAGTCAAATGTATACCAGTCTGTGTTCTGTTGCCGCACCGGATCTCCGCCAAATCCAGGATCATCGTCCCCATTTTCGCTCCCGTCTGTATCTCTACCGCTACTTGAATACTGTGGCTCAAACTGGTATGGTTCCACCACGTTAGACTCGCCCGCATGATCTGATTCCACCACACCGGCATCCTCTTCAATAAAATCCTCCTCTTCTTGAAAGTGCACCGAGTCTATTGACGACTCACTGTCACTCGATGCTGTCGAAATATCCGAGCCAGAGACCGACATCAGACATATAGTTAGTGTATTATTCAAAAAGTGTTCTACTCGTGACGTGCGTGACGTCACTAACCGGCGAAAGCTGTTTGGTCCGGAGCGGTCGTGTAACATCGGAAACGAGCATGGAAAGTTGTAATAAATCACGATTTATAAATACAGCGGGCATATTGTCATTAATGACAAATGATTTCCCATTAATAATAGTATATATTATCCTAATAAGAACAGTGTTGTCCTTCATTTCGTAAGCTCTTTAAGGATTACATCACCGACTCCTGTCCTATTGCCATGCTTATTCGTCATTGTGTCACGTGCAGTTTGTGTGAGGTTTGAGTTCTTAAACTGCCTGCGTGAACATGCACACCTAGCAGAACTGCTCTGCTCACATAGAATCAGACATGGCCTCCAACATTGTTGTTCTTGCAATGCTTGCTGACATCATAACCGAGAGAACCAGTCACTGCTTTATGTGAACATTTCATTTATTTAGAACATTTTTTGGTTTTTCAATTAAATATGTGTGCATCTGTTTTATAAAAACATCAAAAGGTTAAGGTTCTTTTTAAGGACTTTTATGCGATTCCAGATTATTCAAATGTATTATCTATTTGGATAGAACCCTCTAGCGAGGCCTTTAAAAAAAGTCTCCATTATGTCATCTCAGACTAACATCACTGCTGAAAGGGGAATACTAGAATTTGTGTTGTTTTCTGTTCCGATTATAGTGCCATGCTGTGTGTTCCTCTGCATCAATGTGATCATGTTATTCACCTTGAGGTGTAAATCTGTATTTCGGGAAACCTCCCGATACGTTCTTCTGTTTAACCTCCTTTTTGCAGACACTCTACACATGGCATTAAGCCAGTTACTGTTCCTACTATCTGTTTTTCAAATAAGGCTGACATATCCTGTGTGTGGTGTTGTTGTCATGCTTGCTGATATCACAAGAGAGATTTCTCCTCTCACACTGGTGGTGATGTCTCTGGAGAGATGTGTAGCTGTGTGCTACCCACTAAGGCACTCTACTTTCATTACCATCAGAAACACAGCAGTGGCTGTCATTGTGGTTTGGGCCTTCAGTTCGCTCAATAATGTTGCACGAGTTATTCTCCTATTAGATATTTCAGTTGAAGACCTGGTAAACCTCCGGATGAAAGAGTTTTGTGCTAAAGAAAACATGCTGCTTGGCCGGTACTCCGATGATTATGACAAAGCCTACAATTATTTTCTGTTTGTGTCAGCTGGTGTGGCAGTCAGCTGCTCCTATATTGGTGTGATGATAGCAGCCAGGTCGGCCTGCACAGACAAAGATTCCTTTCGTAAAGCTCGTAACACTCTGCTGCTGCATCTGGTGCAGCTGGGCCTCAGTCTCTCTTCAACTCTACACAACCCCCTGATCGAAGCTATAGCCAAAGTCACTGACAGATTAGCAATGTTGCGTGTCCGGAGTGTTATTTATGTGTGTATTATTCTTTTACCGAGGTGCCTGAGTGCTCTTATCTATGGCATCAGAGACCAGACCATTCAACCTATCCTCTTGTACCATCTGTGCTGTCGCCTGAAACTGCCTGTCATCCCAGCCAAAGCAAAAGTCTCACAATGAGGTATTCAAGCATACATATATTTTTTGCATTTTTATTTGAGACAACGAAAAGAATATTACATGAATGAAAAGCATTTTATCCTTTAAAAATCTATACTGATTTTGCCACACTTGCTGACGTCAGTTGTATCAATAACATTACATTACATTACATTGCATTACATTGCATTGCATTTAGCTGACGCTTTTATCCAAAGCGACTTACAATAAGTGCATTCGACCAGGAAGATACAACCTTGAAGAAAACAGAATCATATAAGGACATCAGGTTTCATAGAGCCAAACATTTCAAGTGCTACTTTAGAAAAGCCAGCCCTTTATTAGTATATAAGTGCTTTGATAGTAATTCAATCGCTCGAAGTGGAGTCTAAAGAGATGAGTTTTCAGTCGTCGCCGGAAGATGTGACGACTGAAAACTCATCTCTTTAGACTCCACTTACAATAACAATAAAGTGGGGCTGGCAACAGGGCTTTTCATTATTTCTGAATTATTCAAAAGACTGCGAATACTATATTTAAGTGAAATGTGTTTTCTATTGTTACTTGTAATATATTGAATTGGTTTCAGGAACAGTTTACATACATGACATTAAATACTGTTGAAAAGAACATTTGAAACTAGAATAAAGGTATTTGACTTGATCAACCTTTTCCAGTATTTACTGTGTATTAGGGCTGTCAAGTTAACGCGTTAATAACGCTTAACGGAAAAAAATGTAACGCCACAAATTATTTTAACATACGATTAACAAATGTGTATTTGTCCTCGGCCCGCCCCGTAGTTTCAGAGCCCAAAGGCTTGACGTTGTTCTTGTTGTTGTTAGTTGGATGGTGGGAGATTCTAGGAGAGATATGGATACAACAAAAGGTGTTTTAAACAGCAAGCCAAGCACACAGCTGATGCTCAGCCCCGCTCCTGCTGCTCGCTTGCGGCAGACCATGGGGAGACGCCTGGACAACAACAGCGATAGCTAAATGGGGGCTACAGCTTAACGCTATGGAGGATGAGGGGCTGCGTTAGATCATTCGGATCACATCCAACGTGTCGACTGCTCATCACAGCGCATTGTTTTGACCCACAGTGGGAACCTCAGTCTCATGCTTTGACTGTTATGAAGACAGAGGAGCGGCATCTCGCCGACAACTGTAAACAGAGAGAGAGAGAGAGAGAGAGAGAGAGAGAGAGAGAGAGAGAGAGAGAGAGAGACATGGAAGAATTAAACTTTGCCACCATGTGCACTTTATACTAATGTTTAGTCAAATCATTTTTTTATTGACACCAAGGAAATATTTGACATTTAATCTAAAAAACGTACTAAACAGGTATCAAGGTATAAGATTATTGTATAAAACGTGATAGAAAGACTGACAACTAATAGAGAACCAGAGTATTGCACATTATCTTCACAAGTAAAAAATCCTGATGAGGTTTGCTATAAGTTAAATCTGTTAAACCATTCAGCCTGATATATCTCAGTGTAAAAACATTTCAAGGGACCCACAACTTGTCCAAACCCTCTCAGTTTTAGTATCTAAGTTGTTGAACTCACGTGCTTTGCCAACACCCTTATCATGATGTTGTAGACATTCGTGTTCATGACTCTTTTTTTTTTCTTGTGCTGGTTGATCAGGAATCGCTGCGCCCTCTGAATGTCTTCAGCAAACACACACGCGTCCAGGTAAGAGCAGATTCTCTTGTAGAGGTCCCCACATTCAGCCTCACTGTCCAACTCCAGGACCTGCGGGTTACTCAAAGACCTCAACTGGCTCATTTGTTGACTGAGCCTCTCCATCTCTTTCATCTCCACCAGTTCTATAGAGCTGACCTTAGCATCAGCAACAGTCTGCTTTGGTGTCGGATTTTTAGATTCCTTCCGTTTTGCTTTAGATTTTTTCTGTGTCTTTGCTGCTGTCCCCGCGGCAGCACCAGCAGCAGTGGAGGTAACAGTTGAAGAAACTCTAGCACTAGTCTCATCAGACACTTTGTTGTGCCCTTTAATGGTTTTGATCAAGGGCTGAGTCTTTTTAGCAGTGGTAGATATAGTTTTCAGTGATGTACTGGGGAGTGATGGGCTGCTTTTGCTTCCTTTAGATTGTACTGTCTCTTTCTTTAAATATTGCAGTTTTTTCTTCTCCTCCTGCTTTAACTTTTCCTTCCAGCCGCTTGGCTTAGATTTAGAAGCCTCTTTAGCACCAGTCTGTTTTGATTTAGGAATGACGTTTTCTTTCTTGGGTGTTTTTTTGAGAGCTTTATCAGATAAGACTTTATTTCCAGAAGACGGGTCTTTAAGAAAATGCACCTTCGAATGCTGGACATCTAAAACTGTGTCGGATTGGAGTTGTTGGATCCTTGCTTCAAGCACTGAGAAAGAGAGAAGTTTGTTTGGGAGTAAAAGAGTGGAACACAGAAATAACGACAGGCTTTAACTGCTGATTAAGTGAATTCAAATGCAGAAGTCTATGATAAAATGGTAAGCAAATGCAGTTTAAGCTGGATACAGAAAACAAGTAACAACTCTTACAAACCAGTATCTGGTATTAAAAAGCACTTATTGATAACATATAAAATGGTGAGTTTGGGGGTCAAAGACTGATAAGCATGCCACCTGTGGTCTACATTAACATACCGTGTAACAGAGACTGTTTCAGTTCATGCTTCTTTGTATCTTCTCTCTTTGGGACAAAGGAAATATTTTTTCTTTGAAGTTGCCATGGTGTCTCTGAAAATAAAATAAAAATAATTAAAGATAATAATATTAATAATCATCATCATCGACAATATGCAGAAACAACTGAAACCATAGTGATATGGCATACTGTTTACTTATTGCAGTAAATAAACAATAGCTTTTTATTGTCATCTTATTTTGGTTGATGTTTTCCTTCACTAACACAAAAGGAGGATCAGAGGCTCAAGGAAAGCCCAATGCTCTAAAATGATTAACATACTATGATAACGTTTGATTAATTTTCCAATTTAACAAAGAATAAATATTGTCAATATTAAGGTAATATTATTTTTATACATTGATTCAGGTTTATAAATTCAATTAATTGTAATATATGTATTATAATAATAGCCTAATGTTATAGAGTAGTGATATCAGATTCATTCAATAGAGTGGTTCTTAAAGGTTTTTCTTAAGGTGTTCCCATTGAGTTTATAATAATTGTTAACTAAGCAATAATAAAGACAGTTACATAACCCGGTTATTTCCCCGGTGCATTGACTGTAAAACAGACGTTTCTGAAAAGTTTACTACAGACACACAGTTAAGCATGTGTCCACAAACAAAGCATCCTCACACTAGACTCAATAACAATACATTCATTCAACATATTCAATGTGCTGTTCTCGTCCAACATTAAACCTAACTGAATATACCCTTGACTTTAACATAGTCCTCGAAGAAACTGGGTAAACTTGGTCCATCATTCTGTGAATGTAGGACAGACTCACCTGATATTCGTCTGACTGCCCCGTCTCTTAGCGACACACACAGCTCACAGCGATCCGCACGAGACAGGCGAACTGCACATTGTTCAAATAAACTGCGACGATTCAGACATTTGGCAAAGGCACACAATCTGAGGAGTGACATGTTGACATGTAATAACCGCGTTACTTCTCAACACAGGGCTGCCATCTTAAATAAGACCAAGCTAGTCGCGAGGAACGATCATCATGCTCGTGTAAGGCATGGTGAGTAGATCGCAGATAAATCGAGTATTGTGTTTTTTGGTAATTGTGTTAATCTGTGCTAATTATTGGTTTAAGTTTTCAAGACCAGCTTCTTGTAGACGTTCGCACTTGAAATAGGCATGCTGATGGAAGTCAAATATTTACATATAATATAAAACATAATAATTTCAGTATTTAATATTCATTAAGATTGTATTAAACATAGGCCTATGCCTAAACCCTGCACTTACATGTATATGCTTGTTACGACCCGCCCCCCCGCAACACAAGCACGTAACAATGCTCCACATTTGCACCTTATCAAAAGACATGTATTCATATTTAGATATTTATATACAGTAGGCTACATTGATCTGATATGTGAATTTATTATGGTACTTTACTACTCTTTGCACTTTCTAGTTGAATGCAAACTGCATTTCGTTGTAGCCTACTCATGTTCAAAAGTTGAATCTAAAAAAATCGTATCTTTATATTCTGTATTTTATGATCAGGGTAGTCTGAAATGGATAATGAATCATTTTTGGCCTACAGGTGGCAGTCTTATCATAGTAAAGTTAAAGTAGGATTAGGGGTCAAACTGGAGGTCAAGGTGAAAATGACTATTTTGAAACCAGCTTTAATGTCATTGCTATATAGTTCATTTTAGATGGAAAAGTTATGACCATGATCTAAACACCGGTAAATTGTAGTACAAAATAGATTGAAACTAAAAGTTCAGCCATAAAATGTATATCCTGTGATGGGTTATCTTTTGTAGACTTATATATGGAAAATACAGCAGCAAAGTTATGAAAAAAATGCAAAATACCTTTAATTTGAATGATAGAGTAAATTGACACTTGAGAAAACCACAACAATCTTTGTGTTTGTGTATGGTATGTTTTCACAGAGCTGTTTTGCGGCAATCTATGTAAACTTCTCATTAATTAAGGGGAAAGCAACAGAAGTTAAGTAAACTTCATTTCCATTAGGTAATCCAAAGCTGGTAGTATACACATGCAACCTGCCCTTATAATGACTTGACCAAAGTAGGCTACATTTTACAGTTACTTAAAAAAAAAATCTTCTTCTTCCAATCAGCTTTTGAATTTCAAACATCATACAGTTCAATCAAGTGTGACTCAGCTCCAAATCGTAAGTAAAACTGAATGTATCTCATTCACATCCTGTGTACTTTCTGACCCCCAGCAGTGTCAGCCTCCCCTTGTCATGCATCCATAAAGCATTCTTAAACACTTTAGCGGGCCTTTGTGTCTCGGCAGGCTGGAGGTTAACACAAGCACTACTTGACAGTGAGAGAGAATTGGGGGGCAGGGGGGGGCAACAGAGAGGGAAATGAGGTCCAGGCAGTACATCTTTTCTCAGTGGAGGCAGTGGCTGAGAGCACAGCGGTGGGTGTCTGCTGCTGAGCTGTAGGTGAGGATCAGGAGGTGTTTGTTGCCACGGTTCACGAGCAGGGCCCCTTGACAGCCTCGTTTGATGTGGTTGGCCCCTGTCGGCGGCTGGCTCTTTGCGCTGGTGTGACAGTCATTGCCGGGTGAGTGACTGTCAATGCCTCGACCGACAAAAGAGGAGAAGACAGGCATTCATGGGGCCTGATAATGGCCAGGCCAGGACAAGGCTGCCATTCTCATACACTTTGATCATGTGGATTCTTTTGCACACCTTTGTAGGGGCTCCCTATTTGTTTAACAGATGGAGAGAGGGCTGTTTTTGATGGAGATACTTCTCTTTGAGATGCTTGTGTTGGTAAATGCTTTTGGCATGTGTTTGCGTGTGTGTGTGTGTGTGTGTGTGTGTGTGTGTGTGTGTGTGTGTGTGTGTGTGTGTGTGTGTGTGTGGAATTAGTGTGTGTGTGGAATTAGTGACCTGCGGGAAAGAAAATGCTTTTTAAGTAACTCCCCACATGAAACTCCACATAAGTAACATCTGAGAAGTCATTTTTTAAAGCTTGATTTGAAAACGTTAGCAGTACATTAGCTATTTTTTGCAGCCTACTGTAAACTTGCAGAGTACTGGCACGAACATTACATTAGAAATATTACTCATCACACACTTTGTGTCCATTACTGTCCATTACAGAGACACAGACACCAAAAGGATCCTTCAGGCTTCTGCACAAACCTTTCCTGGACTGATGTGACTCACAGCTCTTTTAAAGATGTTTTCAATTAGTGAGTCAGTTAAAATGTCCTTAGATGTGTCATGCTACTATTAACAAGTGCATCTTAATAGAATAATTTGAAAAGATCATGTACACTTTGAGACTTAAATGATGATGGATCAACTTCAACATTCAGACAAATCTACCGCATGTATTAGAAGAGGGAAAAAATGCTGAGTCATCAGAGATATTTAAAGTGCTTTTTTCAATCCTCACCACTGGCATCCTGTTCTCTGTTGGCTGTGGTTTAGGAGGTAGATTGCTCAACGTTGGATAGAAGCATTAGTGGTTCGATCTCCAGGCCTGCATTAAAAACATGTTTAGGCAAGATACTGAAACCCATATTGCTCCCAAGGGCATGGCCAACATTGTGTGAGTGTGTGTAAAAAGTTTATCAATCCTGATGAACAGGTGGATTCTTGTATGGTTGCCTCTGCCCTTATTTGTTTCTCTATGGAAATCAAATCTATTTTTACTTCATGTCCGTGTCCTCTTTTAAGTTCTGATGCATCAGATTAGCAGTGTGCGGATGTTAAATCACTCCTGACAAGTCACATTTATTATCATCAACACTATCGGTGAGTTGGATCTCTGCTCGCCGTCCTCTGAAGAACCGGGAGGCTGGATCTCTCAGAACTCTTCGCAGCATCAGATAGACGACCCACTTATCATAAAGCCACTGACAATAGACAATGGCCATAAAGCAGGATATGCAAAAGGCCGTGTCCGTTCTGGTGGTCTGGTCAGTTCCTTTAACCATGTCCGCATGTCAACCACATCAGACAGCGCAGCGATACCAAGCACACCTGTGTTGGCTCTGACACGAAAACACAGGCAGTGTTGGACATGCTGAAAGGATGAATTGCAAAACAGCTGAAATTATAAGAATTTACTGCCGTGAATAATATGTGTGAGATAATTTCCTTATGTGAGTGTTTTACCTCGTTGCAGTTTAGCTTAAAGAAAGTAAATTATAGTCTGGGAACAGTTTTATGTTAAAAACACACACCTTCCATACCACTGAGTTACAAACTGGCAGCATGTCAGTACTAAAAGCACGAGGTCATGGGTGAGCTAAAAGACAACAACAAGAGCAAAAGGGAGAAAGAGAGAGACAAGGACTTAGCAGGCGGGCAAAACAATTAATAATAGGGAGCTATTACTGAGGGATTGTCAGTGCTAGGACGGAGGTCGGGTTTCAGACCCTTTTGAAGACTTTGATGGTACAAAACAGGCCTCATTATAGAGATATTATCTCTATTCATACACTTACAGAGCCGCTTGGATTCCTGCTGGGAAAGATTAGATTCCTCCACTTGAGAACATCCTCCTTGGGTGCCTGGCTCACAGAGTGGTGTTCTCAGCTCAGGGCACACCCACACAGCAAGGCTCGACTCAGCCTGAGCTCTACAACCGTTTCATGGATTAACATGAAGTTGTGTACACACTCATGGTCCTCAGAGGATGAATCCAAATGTCCCAAGGGTCGAACTTACATGGAGAAGCAACATTTAGTTAATATGCTCAATACATGTGGAACAAACTCCAAGAAAAATGCACATCTCACTTTTTTTTGTTTGTTGCCGCCTTTTATTAAATCAAATCATGATTTATATGTTGCACTGCACTGTACATTTTTCTTTTAGTATTTCTATTGGCTTTTATTGACTGTCTCTAAATATATTTCAATATATTCTTACTGTCTTTAATACTTTTTGGAAATAACTTTGAATTGCCTTGTGTTAAAATATGCTATATAAATAAATATGTCTTGCCTTGCCTAATGTTTTTGTTTACAGACAGTCTTTTCCTCTAACACCACCATGAGGTAGACACTTATGGTTTAGAGGTTTTAACAACTCTCAGATGGCTTGCCATAATTCTAACTGTTCCTCGAGCAACATCATCTTGTCGAATTTCAAGTCCTTTGGTTTATGACTGGTCCAAATTAGCTAATCATTAGCAAACTCAGATGTGGTAGAATTTATGTCAATGCACCACTGTGCCAAAATCCTCTGAAGAAAAGTCAAGCAGACGCGTACTTGGAAGAACTCGTAGTGGTTCTGTTTTAATTACACTTTCTGGAGTCCGTTCAGAGGACCCATCACACATGTGCGCCCAGTTGGTTTAGGACTTATCTGTTTGCTCACAGTACACAGGAGTCATTTTATTAGCATATGTGTGCACCTTCTGATAAATAAATGACACATTTTATATAATCTCTAATAAGGATTAGACTCACACAGAAACTTTCATTACATCGTTGGTAATTCTTTCCAAAAGTGTTCTTGTACTTGTTTTTGATCCAGGAAACTGAGTTTCTACAGTGGATTACACCCTGACTTTATCATAAATTGGAGACTGGACATTTAGGAAATCCTCAGTATATGTTATGTGAATTCTATTTGTTTCTAACATCAAACATAGACATTGTACAATAGCAAGAGATTGCACGTTATGACATTTAACAAAGTAATACATGATGCCTGTGTCCGCTCCGACACTGAGCTCAGAGCCCAAACATTTGCTTCCATGACACCACAAAGCAATCTGCTGCCACATCTGACACTCACATGAGGCCGGAGCTTTGTTGTTGACCTCAGGGGACACTCTGATTTTTGAGAAGTGATACAGCAGAGTGATTGTATGATTATAATTAAAGGGAATTTTGGCAAAGGGTAGACAATAGTAACTTCCTGGGGCTTCTAAACCTTTTCGCACTTTCTCTTTTTTTCGGCTATTCTGTCTGTCTTTGTTTTGTTTGTGTTTAATTGTTTAGTTAATTTTTGTTCTCATACTGCCTTTGCTGAAGCACCTCTTTTCACCCTCTGTCTGAAACCAGAGCCCAGTATTTTCTGATTGGTTGGCTGGCTGGCTCTGTTGTGATTAGTCAACCGCTTAGAGATGTCCCGCCCCTTAGCCTATCAGGAAAAATGTGTCTGAGCTAGCCATAGAAGCGAAAGTATTAAAATGTGATGTCACTATTTGATGGTAGTAAACAAGGGATTCCAATCAAGGGGTGTGTGGAAGAGACACTCCCTCTGGAGGAAACTTTGGGATTTTAGCCTTTGCAGACCATTAAATATGCACAAAAAGCTACATTTCACATTACAGGAAAGAGAAAAAAAAACAAAAGCACAATAGTGGCTCTTTATAACAACATCATCAAGGGGTGTATGGATTTGTTTTTTAAAGTGAACTATGTTACTTCTTCAGTACCAAAATAATGTGTCAGTTACTAACAAATTAACTTGCAAATATTTTTCCAAAATGGCCATGATGATGCTGCTCCCAGCGTTTTACACTTTTGTCCCTTATTAAGCAAAGTTACTGCTACACAAACACCTTGTAATTCTTTGTTAACAAATAAAGTGTTTCCTATTACAGGGCTGGTAGAGAGAGAACAATAAATGAAATACCAAGCAAGCCTGCAAACACTCAGATGTCCTAAAAAAAACTTTAAATGTTTTATAGCTGTTGAAGATGGGCCATACAACATAATCAAAAACCTATTCACAATTATCTCTCTCCTTATCTTTTGCCTTTCATTGTTTTTCATTCCGACTCCAACCAGTTCCATTAATCACTAAAAACTCAAATCTGTCTTTCGCAGAACAGATTTAATTTCCAAGAACAGAGGTGAACAGAGCAGACACAGCAGTGTGGTTTAATTGAGGGTGAAAAGACTGTGATTTTTACAAAGGGCCCAGATCTATGCTGAAAGTATAGCTTTGATGAGGAGCCTGGCGGGCACGGAGGACCAGAACCTACTGGCAGGAATGGCTTGGGGGAGTTGGGGTGCTGGAGCTGGGAGTTTGGTGAAAGAGGCGACTGGTGTTTCTTTTATGACGTTAAGGTTTAAATAGGGGCTAGGGGGACAGCAAATCTCTGGAGGCAGTTAACAAGCTAAAGAGTGTGAAGTGACTGTCACCCTCTCTGAACACACACTCCTCAAACACACGTCCAGCACCAGACAAGCCTCAGGGTGGTACTGATAATTGAAACAGGGGCTCTTTTAAAAAGGACCTAATTACCACCACAAACTGCAGAGCCTCACTTCAAAACTGGATGTCCACTCTCTTTTTCTTTAGATTTTTCCATTTCTATCTTTTTATTTTATCATATAATCTCCTACAAAATACCGAAAGTACTTAATAGCATTTGTCTGACTTCATACATTTAAGATAAATTAATGGAATAGTTCAATGATTTAGGGAAATGTATGGCATTTATTAGCTTTTTTGCAGAGAATTGAGGCAAATTATTGGTTGATACATGTGCATGTCCATGAAGTACAATTTGTAATCTGTTATGTCCATGATGCTCACAATTAGCTTACTGTGTGAACAGGATCTAGAAACACTAGATCTGCAGTTCACTTGTTTCACACTATACTGTATGTTATGTATTGGTATATTATCTTGGAGTGGTTGCAAAACGCATTTCATCTTTTTCAAATAGCTGTTCTTCTTGCTATTTTAAAGTTACCATCTTGTTTTGTAGTCTATATAAGCAGTATATGTCTGTGAAAAGCAGAACCTTGATTGTATAGAAGTGCATGCTCCTACACTGTATGAAAGCGTCCATACTGTATACGATGATCAACGTTTTAGATTCTCATGTCTGTATGGTATAATATACCAAGCAAATATCTTTAGAAGGAGCCAAATGAGCTGCTTCACCCTGTTTCCAGTATTATTCCTAAACTATGCTAAGTAGCTTGTGGCTGTATTCTATCAATATTCTTCTTTATCTTGTTGCAAGAAAGCAAACATTTCCCAATATGTTAATACCTTCGTTGTGGTCAGATAAAAATTGTGTTCTGTTAATAACAAAACTGCCTAGCAACAAAATGCTCAATACAAAGTCATTAATGCAAACTGGAATGGTCTGAGCTGTAATGCCTTGCCCTAATCAGGTTTATTACACAGCTTGTAAAAAAAACAGACAAGAGTGTGGGAAGTCACAAAAAAGGTGTTCTTCATTTCCGTCCTGTTCTCCTAAATTAAAAGGCAAAGATCAGAGAGGGTGTTTCATTGAAATATTAACACAGGTGATCAGAAAGTCGCCAAAGCTTCATCTGGACTAACTCTGCCGACACTTCTGCAACCTGCTCTGCTTGGTGATTCAAACCAGTGGCGGTAAAAAAAAGAAAAGAAGGAAAGCCTCTCTTAATTTGCCCCACGTGGCCAGAGAGAGGAAAAGAGAGTGTCAAAAAATGCCCTCCTAGCTGGTTCACCGGACAGTAATGGGGCTGATTTGACGGTGTTACAAAATGCTTCACCGTTTACATCAAGGGGAGACAGCAGAGGTCATGGGACAGGGGAAGGGGATGTAAGTGTTTCCAGGTGTCCGTGACCAAAAAAAAGCAAGAGGGTAATAAAATCCTCAGGTGAAAAGCAAATGACTTGTTTCTCACAGAATAAACTTCTCTAAGAGAGAATAGAAAAGGGGATGGTACTTTCTCGTTTGTTTGAAATGGTTATGAATGACTATGGTGGCCCCACCCTCCCCCCCCCCCTCCTCTCTCTTTCAACCCCCTAGATGCCGGCCCTGCCCAGGATAAAATGCACGACAACTCAGCCGGTTACTCCACAGCAGAGAGGACTGACTGACACTCACTGCTTCACTGCCCCGTGCTAGCTGACACACACACACACACACACACTCACTGCCTCTCACTCTGACACACACACACACACACACACACACACACACACACACACACACACACACACACACACACACACACACACACACACACACACCCTCTCACTGCCTCTTACTCTCTCTCTCTCTCTCCCTCTCTTGCGAACACACACACACCCACGCTCTCTCCCTCCCATACTCACTCACTTGCTCACTCCCTCTCTTTCTCTCTCCCTCTCTCTTTCTCTCAGTATCACACACACACACACACACACACACACACACACACACACACACACACACACACACACACACACACACACACACACACACACACACACACACACACACACACACACACACGCAGTCAGTCACCAACCCTCATTCAACTCCCTCTCAGCCACGGGTCAGCAGCTCAGACAGGCACCTTGTTCCTATTCAGCTGGAAAGAGTAGAGCATCGCAAGGTGCACACACATACTCCAACACACACTCACTCAAAATACACACACACACACACACACACACACACACACACACACACACACACACACACACACACACACACACACATATATATGTGCATCATCATACAGCCAAGGACTTTATCTGTGGAACGGGAAAGAAGACCTCAGTCCAAGGAGAAGAAGAAACAGAGAAACAAGGAGGGACACTAATGAGGAACTTCTAAAGGTAAATTCCTAAAATTGCAGCTCTTCAATAAAGGATCAGACACAAATAATCGGAAACAGACTGAGACTGAAGATGACAAATGGAGTAACTTTGAGAAGCTTGTTGCTGTAGGAAGGCCTGAAGTGGAGATCATCTGTGACATCCTGAGGATCTGCTAGCCATCTCCCTCCCTTCTCTTTTCAGGACTCCCACCCTCTTGTCATCCCTCCACTGGGACATCTCCCCATCATCAGCATGCCTACAGCTTGCACAAGGTGCACCTTGGGAGTCTGACCCACCATGTGCAGATGGACGCCGGCCGCAGCTCATCTCTGTCCTGAAGCTGCCCTTGGCACCACCACTGCTGCAGCCTCTGCCGGGCGACCTCTCCCCCTACCCAGTGCAGCCTCCATTTGCCTGGCATGCCTCTCCCTGCTCCTGGTCACCGCTGGCACCGCCACAGGGGCCTGTCCTCCAGGGGTTGGACATGAACCCTTTCAGGTGCTGGCAGGTGACATCAACTGTTCATGGACGTTGGAAAGACACACTCGCAGTTACAATCACCTAGAGGGAGACGTCCGACTACGGCGACTTTACTCTGCCAACAAGTTCTTCCTCTGTATTGACAAAACAGGCAAGGTGGATGGCACTCGGCGGAAAAACTACGTTGACAGTAAGTGAATTTAAGTTCTGTATCTATAATGTGTGTTTGGGGTCACAGAGAGGACAGGATGCCCTGTGACGTACTCAGTTTTATTTTTATGGCTGGACTTTCTTATCTTTTTCTCTTTTATAGCAGTGCACAGGGATATCCTGTGTTTCTATCACTGCTGAGCTATTTGTGTTGTGTTTAGAGCATGAGAGATGCGTTGCTAGGTAAGAAGGGAATACCCTAGAGTGGATTTAGACTCCTCATCGGACTGTCGGCACAAGAAGGCTGAGTTGAGGAGAGACATTGAGCATCAGTTGGCAGTGTGAACTGGGCTTGGAAAAAAAGCTTAAGTTTCACTGGGGATTTACTTGTCAAAACTGTGACGAAAGTGCATCATTTGTAAGTAGCAGGTGGACAAGGAAAATACATTCCTCCAACAAATCTGTGTGCAAACACAAATACATGTGCATTGTTAATGGATGTGATACATTTCGAGACTGCTGTTTAAAGACAAATATAAAGTGCTGAATAACAAAAGCTTCAGTTCATAGCCTCATGCGACCTGCATTTGTACATTTCCTTGGACATAACTGTATATTAAATCTCTCTAATGTATGTAGCTCCCCCTTACACCAGACAACAATGCATCTTGGCATCTTTTTAGACACAACATTTCCTAACGTGAAGTATTCAGCATGAAGCGATGCAGTTTCAGATAAATTATTCTGTATTCTGTATCTGCGGGTCAGGGACACCTGAGAAGAGGTTGCTCTTACAGCAGCCGTGCCTCTTCAGCGTGTCCATCAATGGGCGCCTTTCCGATGCTTGACCAGGTCAAACGAGCCGACTCTGGTCGTGATCTGACCTCCATCTCCATTAGTCCCTGGCTGACTGACGAACTGGATAGCCCTTAGAGACCTTTATGCCTTTGCCGGTAATATTTATGTATTTGGTCGTTAATGCCTTTTTTATGCAAGTGGGTGAGTCAGAGTTTTCCATACAGCTACTGGGGCTGGAGCAGCTGCTGCGTCCAGCTAACAGCCAGCCAGTCTGTTGCCACTGTTTCAATAAGCTCCAAGCTGCAGACTGAATGACATTTGTTAACCTGTCGGGATTAGTCACCTGGCAGAATCTCTTAAAGCCACACAAACTGGTAGAAACTCAGGTTGAGATGAATTATTACGGTGTTAAATTTGGACCTGTGGGATCTCCAACTTGGGACATTATTCTCTCCTATTAGTGGTAATATACTGTATGTCAGCTACCATAATAAAATATTATTCCCAAACTATCCATGAATTTGACACCTCAGAGGTCATGCTGGAAGAGTGGCAGCAACACAAACTTGGCAACATGAGGCAAGTGTTCAGAATCTTTGGAAAGTAGCAAAAGTTATGGCTAAGGATTGTGAAATGCATGCCTTCTCTTGCCATAGTAATGTCATTAGGGCTTACGTCGTTGCAGTAGCTCTCTTTGAAAGAGTGCAGTCCCCTTAAATATAATGTCCTCATACACTTTAGCCATCATCCTCTCATTTCCTTTGGTGGAAAGAACGATTCTATCTGCTCGCTCACACAGAGAGAGGGTGTGTACCTGCACCCTGAGCTGAGCACAGCGCCAACCCAGCGGTCATGTGGCCCTTGTGGTCAATCTATGGTTGCGCTCCACAACGGATCTGGTTTAAGGCCGATTTGAGGTCTCACTCTGTGTCTGTGCGAAGGGTACCGTTACTGCCATCCCATAAGGAGGCCTCCGATCAGACTCGAAACCTCCTGACCCAGACAACTTCTTGATACTGATACGGTGGCCATGTTATAGATTAGAGTGGCAGGATAAGCAGGAAGTTGTGCATATTTAATGACAAGAGCAGTGTGCAAATATACTAGTGTGCAACCTAAGCGCAAGTGTCACACAGGAAAGAGTACACATTTATTTATTTTTTGGGTTTTATCAATGCTTTGGATATATGCTTTTATATCTGATATAAAATCAAAAATACGTTTTAGTTCCCGAGTGGTTGAAGAGACACACACATGCACACAGACAAATACAGACATACATAATGTTGGACGCACTGTTGTGGCTTGTATTGAAGTTTCCACATTATTTTTGTTGTTCTGTGTCAGATTAAACTACAGTTGTTGAGCTCAGGACTATCCTGAGCTTGCATGCAGCTTCCTAACTGCCCAGAAGTCTGGCCGACCCCTCCTTTGTCCTCTGTGTTGCCTGTACACTCTTGTCGACACAGCTATATTGCCCCGACAGCTCTGCATGCTACACCCAGCCCTCACCTCCACCCCACTCAGTTTTTCCAGCCCCAGCCCCAACTCCCAACTCCCTCTCAGGTGCAAAAACAGTTGGAATTAGTCAACAGGCTCACTGCTAATTGAGGTCGGAAAATATTGTATCAATCCCAGCGGGGCAGGGGCATGGAACAGCTGAGGGAAGAGGAGAGAGAGAGAGAAAGAGACTCGGAGAGATGAGAGAGCTGGACAGGGTTGAAAGGAGACAGAGAATAAAGCAAGACACAAATTATGAATTATCTTTTTGTTTATCAGTTCATGAGGAATTAGCTACTATTATGACATGCAAACATATTGTGTAACAGTCATTTAAATGCCCTATCAGGTTTTATTAAAATGACATGTAGAGATGAAATGCTCTTGAGTGACAAAGTTCAAAGCTTTCATCAGCAACAGACAAGAGAGGCTGTATCAGTTTCATCTCCAAAGTGTTTTAAGAAAAATGTCCTGCCATGTGAGCACACATGTGGAAATGTACACAAACATACACTCGAACACACACAAACACTATAGTTTCAGGTATCCATCCGTTCTTCGTTTTCAAGAAAGTTGTTTGCAAGTTTACCTAGCCTTCAATACATTTGTTAATCAAAACAGAGAGATTAAAATCAGACAAGATAATGAAGATGCCTCAACTATTATCTGAGTTCAGCCTTTGAAACCAGACACTCTAAAAATAGATCCACCATTATATTCAAAGTTTCTAAAAATAACTTGTTGAACAGCCACAAGAAGAGACAAAGTACTGAACTTTGAGCGACTGAAGGGGAGGGCTTCGACATGTTTTTCTTTTGACCTATGGCAAAGCAGAGAATGATCGAAGGGAAAAACATACCCAAGTGTTTACAAAAGCTCCAGAGGCAGGTACGCATCATATCCTGTCCTGGGTCATCGGTCATAGCCTGCTAATTAGAAAGCCCTACAACACAAGAGCTGTGTGGGCACGCCCGGCAACCGCTTCATGATCAATTGCAACAGCAAATAAAGAAGCGGTAGACTGGAGTACAATTGCTGAAGCCAAATTCAGTTATTTCATGGATGTTTATTTCTATTTGATTTCTTTAATGACAAGCATGTTTCCTATTTATCTCCCTTGTTCTGTTTTTAAGTATTACAAATTCTTGGGTTTATTTTGGCATCCTGCACTGCGTATATTTTTTATTTGATGTTTTTTCATCTTATTTTAAAGGATGGCCTGTTAAATTTAAGGTGTGTGTGGCTGAAGGCATCAAAGGTTTGTGCAGCCTCCAGGTAGTGACAGCTCATTCACCCTTAGGAAATAAGGTCACCTCGCAGCGCTGCTATAATCGCAGGAGTCACTGCGGCCATTCTGCCTCTGCAGCCGTGCAACGCTCACTGCCAGGGTGTGTTGTGTTTACCAAATTTCCCTTGCTGTGCAACATCTTGCTGTTTGAAGTAAGAGTTTTCCTAGTTCATGAGTGTATTTTACTTGGATTGGACCCACGGGAAGAAAATCTTCCACCCTGCTGAAATATGTTGTGGAAATTATTCAAACTTGTTTTAGACAGGGGAAACTGACACTTGCCAAGGAGAGACTGACTTGAATTTGAAAATGGGAAAAGACAGGAGTTCTGCAGACAGATGACTAAAACCACCTGAAGTGTTTGACCAGTTAGACTGCATTGGCAGTGTTGGAAATGTGTCCCAGCATATACGGTAGGGAGCAAAATGCGTGGCATGGGAATTGCTTGTACAGAAAAATCTTAATTGACACCTATCTTTAAATATGGATGAGCTGAAAATAAGATTAACACATTTTTTTTTAAAAATACATAATAATAATAATAATGAAATAGTATCTTCATGTATTTCTTGATCTTCTAAAGTACTCACTATTGTAAAATTCTAAAACAGAGGGCATTTAAGAATATCAGACTTTATATTGGCCTTCTAAGCTCTATTTTTTTTAATTAAAAATAAAGTTAAACCCAAAACACCACTTTTTCCCATCATCAACTCATTTCTTATCTAGCCCGCATTAAGGTATAATGGCATGCAGATGCCAAATAAATTACAAAATGTCTGTCCGGATCTGTCTGCCATTTTAAAGGTGTAAGATGTTTATTCTGTCAGTCTACATCCTTACCATGACTCATCATTAATTCTAGTAGAGCTCACACGGGGACGTGAGACTGGATCAACAGCAGGGGCTAAAGAGGGAAGCACCTGGCCGTAGGAAGTGCTTTGGTGTTTGAATCGGGAGAATACACATGTTAATGAGGCTAGAAAAAGGGCTGGGGCGTGCTCTGTTCAGTATTGAGGTGGAAATTAAAGGCTAGAAGAGTGCTGGAGCGCTTCCCGTTGCTCATTAGGCATTATGTAAGGTCTCCTCTGCCTCGTCTCATCTGAGAGGGGATTCGTGGAGATTTTGGATGCCAACTGGAGGGTAAAATCCCACGAATCATGCATTTATTATCCCCTCTAAGGACAGTGCATGGCCTCAGCCTGTGGGAGACAAAGGAAAATTGACCTTTTGCCAGCTGTTGCTTGTATCAAGAGGCTAAAAGCTAAATAAAACATTTCTGGCACACGCATGCATGGTGAACAAGCATGTTAAAACTCTAAATCTTTACCTCTCAAACACACACTCAAGCATACACGCACTCACTGTACTGGGAACATTGCAGGACAAGAGTGTCAGTGTCACCCTAATTAGCCGAGGATCCCTAGTTTCTGCCACCAGTGTTTGATATCATG